GCATTCCCTATCGGGTGCTCACAGGCTCACAGCTCCCACAGGGCTGCTGCCACAGCTACAGCAGCAAAGGCTGGATGTAAGTCAAGGAAAGGGGAAGATCTGTAGATCTTTTGCATAGATTCATCACTGGGAATAATTTCAAAATGTTGTTAAAATATTGTTTTCTCACAATACACTTTGGAGGCAGGTAAGCCAAGTTTTCTGAGCTGAGCCTTTGAAAGCGGTTATGTAATTTTCCCAGAAGTCTTTTGAAGTTTGTCTGTGTCTAATTTCCTCTGTCTGAGAACTGACACCCTAAAAAGTTGTTCTGTTTGTTTGTGTGTTACAATATCCTTTTCAAGATATTAACTGACCTGTTTTGGGCTTTGTATTAGAATATTTTTTGGACTGATATGATGGTCTTTAGACAACTGAAAGCGACAGTGGGAAAAGAAACAGGTTTTCCTCTGGAAAATTTGAAGGATGTACTTAGTTCTGAAAGTGCTTGATTGGAAGTGTTTTGTTGAATGCATCCAAAACTCATATTATAAGAAAATGTATGGACATATGAACTGTTTTCTTGTTGCATCCTGCATAGTGGAAACTGTGCTTTAGGCTCCCCAAAACCCTTCTTTTGCATCTCTCAATACAACAGTTGATTAGTTGCAATGTTGCATGAGGGGAGATGCAGCAGTGCAGAATGCCTGCACCATGCTAGGCAGAGGCAGCAGTTCAGAACCACAGCCACCACAAAACGTGCACCATCAGAATATTCCAGCCTCGGCACAAAACTTCTGTGGCAAGTTTATAAAAGCCAAAGGAAATACTGAATTTTGGAGATGTCAGAACATTTGTTTCTGTAACAAATACCAGTAATTAATCTGGGATCAGCACTTAATAGTTTGTAATTCATAAAGCTAAAGTTTTGGAAATTTCGTTTTCATGACAACTTGGGAAGAACAGATGTTGAAGTATCAAAGTCTTCTGTGAGGCAAGAATTCAAAGTCTTGTGGGACTTTGCTAGGAACTATTTCTGCTATTTTTCCTGGCTGATACATTTTAAATATTAGGATGTTAAAGGTACAGGATAATTGTTCTGTTTCATGAATGGAACCCAGCCTATTAGGTTACTCACATCTGTGGTAAATGTTTAATTAGACACCTTGGTAGCTTTACAAAACAACAATGTGAATGATCAAGTCTAACTTCTTTTTGTTTTACTCATGATGATCAGACTTTTGTTCTTTCCTAATAACCAAAGGCCAGTGAGGCTCACTTGGAGGAGACAAAAACTGGGTCCCAGAAGGGTAAATGAATCATGATGTGAAACAGAGAAGTGGTTTCAAAACTGAAAGGCCCAGAGAGAGATACTGTGTTTGCAGAAAATCAAGGACAGAAAACCAGGAAGGTCAGTGACCCGATTCTAAATGTGCTTTTTCTCCCCTTTCAAACAGGCACAGCAATGGAGAATTTGGATGTCCCGATCCCAGATCTTACTGAAGAACAGCAAGGTGAGGGAGGCACACAAAGATCAGAGCTTTGGCTCATGCACAGTGCACAGCAGTGTTTGCCAGGGTGGGCACGAGTCATTGAAATCTGTTTCCTCTGAAAACACACCCTATCTGTCTCCTTGCTTGTAAAAGAGAGACCAGCAGTCAATTCCCAGCTCTTCCACAGCCTCCTGTTAGGCTTTGTGCACATGCAAGTGGGAATTCAGATACCTGAAGGAGACTGTACTGTGCATTAAATGCCTGATGAGCAATCTCAGAACCTTGTTATCCAGTCCTTGGGGTCTTTGTGCCTGTCTGTAAAACAGCATGGTCAGAATAAATACCTGTTAAATAGCTAGCAATACTTAGGGAACACTTGCCATGCTTCTCTAACTGAGACAACAGCATCACAGAGACATCAGTCATTTGTATGGACTATTTGACATTTGTCTACTGTTTTGTTGCAGACTGAGATGCTTTATACAGTACAGCACCACTCTCTTTCCTGTGTGCTGTTATTGGGCAGTGTGTTACAGCCTGGTGTCTGTCTCCACACCTGCACTGAGCACCACAGGAACACTGCCATGAGACCCCCCTCTACTCCTGCACAGTGACAGGTTTGTTTCCCTTGCAGACATTCTTCAGAGAGTTTTTGCTGCTGATGCCAAGTACTTGGAGAATCATGAGAAAATGAACCAGTCCTTCTGGGAATCACTTGTGAAATGCTTGGCCTCTACTGACCCACCTATCCTGAATACTGAAGAAAAGAACAATGTAAGTAACCAAAGAAGCACCTATCCTTGTTATTCTACTTTTGTACTATACTCTGGGGAGAGAGAACAGAGTCCCACTAGCTGAAATACTGAAATATAATAAAAGGTGTAACAGGGCACTTAGATAAATGAGGTTCAGGCCACTGCTTTTAATTTCACTGCTCTCCATGTGCAAAAATAACGGCTCTGTATAAATTCCTCAGGATCAGCTCAGCTCACTATGTTCTAGGCAGGACCATTGTTAGGCACATTTTGCTGTAAGATACTGCAGCAATTTCATGGCCTTTTTCAGACCCTATAGCTGTATTTCTCCAGCTCTCTGAATATTAACTACTGCCCACTATGCTGTTTTTCCCAGTTGAAGGCTCTGCTCCGAGTTGCTGAATGGAGTTTACATTCTCTTCCCATCTTTGACATTACTCTTTGGCCCCAGTTTTCCCTTTGTATAGTAGGAGCAGGGGGTTACATTTCCCACAGGGTGGGGTACACTCATTTGCCCATCAGGGTGTGCTTCTACAGGCTGTGCTTTATTGGAAAGACCATTTGCTAGTTACTTACCTCCTTTTCAGCTCCTCAACAGCTGTGATGTCCTCCCCGGAGGCTGTGCTGCCTGCCTGAAAGCCATAGAGAAGAAAGGAGTCAGGGCAATGGCTCTTCTTTACCTTTTGCTGAAGACTTCCAACCCATCTGGGTACAGGCAGCTGCCCAGCTCCAAGGGAAAGGGTGAGTCCTACCTGTCCTCCTGTCAGCTGTCAGTGGGACTTGACAGCAGCTTGAACACTCTGTTATGTGCTTGGAAGTGATTATTAGTGAACAACTGAACTCCCTGGAAGTGCTGCTCAGGAAAAGCAGTTAGGTATGGTGGTAATGGGAGCAAAAGTTAGTATTTTACTGCAGTTAGGCTTGCCTTCTTCTGGGGAAAGAACTACCTGTGTTTAGGGAGAGAGCATGTCCTGGGATGATGCTGCCAAAGAAGTTTCTTTGACCTGAGAAAGTTTTCCCTGACGTTTTTGCAGACTGTTATCCAGCCAGCCAGGACCCCTCTGAGCACTCTCAGTGGTAGGAAATCAGAGCTGAGCCAGGGAAAATATTTGTTATTATATTAAAATATAATTCCATGGCAGCACATGCAAAAATAAAAGGAATGGACAGGGGATGGCACACAGGGTGCTGAACCTGGCAACAAGATAAAAGAGACTTATTTGCGTGGTTGTGCAGTAAGGAACTAAGGGCAGTTGCACAGGGTCCATAGTCATTAATTGTCTTCAACAGATGACAGAGGAGCACTCACTTAAGATGACCCTAAATTTAGCTGGGGACTCTCAAGGGCATCCTGTTCCTGCTTCTGCCTTGATTAAACTTGTTCCTGAAGGGGAGAGACCTCCCAGCCTGGTGCCCAGCCCAGCTTTGGTCATCTCTCAGAGCAGGAATGTTGGTAACAAGAGCCTTGGGCTGCGAGCAGCCTCGAGGAGCTGGAGGAGAAGGAATCCCATCTACCTGCCTGTGCCCAAATCCTGCCCCTCCTGATGAAGAGATGCTCAGAGCCCCGGCCCTGAGCACAGAGCTGGGTGTGAACTGCTCAGAGGCAGCCCTGGCCACAGGAGCCAGAGGAGCTGGGATCCTGGTGTGGCCTGGCTGTGAGGGCTGTGCTCCTGTGCCACGAGAGGGAGCTGGAGCCGCGGCAGAAGGAGCCCAGGGCAGGGGAAGCCACCCTCCTGCTGAAGCACCGTTCAGCTGCTGCCTCTTCAGGAAGTGGGAATTTGCACAGGGGTAACATTATGAGTAATTAAACGCCAGAATATGAAAGTTTAGGTGTCTACCACAACCATTTAAGAAGGTCTAAACTGTAGTGTGTATGATGTTTTCATTTGATGCTTTGTATTACCCTTTGTGTGCAAAAAACACAACTGAAATTAGACAAAGGGTCTGATTTCCTGTAAATCTGCTGTTGTGGGAGGAGTTCTGCTGCCTGGGTCTGCACAGCTGCCACTGAAATGCAGCAAGAGGATTCTGAAATGATCTGTCACAGCCACTGTGCAGAATCTGCTGTTGTGGGAGGAGTTCTGCTGCCTGGGTCTGTACAGCTGCTGCTGCTGAAATGCAGCAAGAGGATTCTGAAAACATCTCTCACAGCCACTACTTAGAGGGCCTGCAGTCAGCCCACAGCACTGACTGGGATCATCATCACCTTGTTCCTGAGGCTTTTCCTTTCCTTTCCTACCAAAGGGAAAATGGAAAATAAGCTCTCACAGCCACTACTTAGAGGGCCTGCAGTCAGCCCACAGCACTGACTGGAGATCATCAGCAAGGGCCACCTTGTTCCTGAGGGTTCTCCTTTCCTACCAAAGGAAAAATGGAAAATAAGTACAATGCAGATGAAGAAAATGTGCTGTGTCAACACACAGAAATACCTATAGACCTATGGATGTAAGAATGTAAAGCATTAGTGTTTTAATTAATGTCTTAAACTGAGCTCAGCCCAAATGTAAGAGCAGCTCATTTAAAATTGACATTAGGAGATCTAATCTGTCTCACAGGAGTCTGATTCTACCTGAATCATTCTACCCCTCCAGATACTTGGAGAGATGGAATAGCAGGGGGGAAGAATTCAGTCATTTCCCACTTTTTGACTGCGTAACCCCCAGCAGAGTCACCCTCTGTAAGGAGTTAGAGTCAATCTCTTCCTTGTCTCTGTAGCACACCCACACTGATTTCAGGGAGCTGATGGGCTGGCACTGGCACCAGATACCCTCACTGCAGGTATTAACCTACCTCATCTCTGTGTCATGTTTTAGGAATACCAGCAGAGATGGTTCCCTACAGAGATTCAGGTAAGTGCTCCCAGGTCACCTCATCCTGCTGGAATGACTATAACTGCAGTGTCTTCTGTCTGACCTGCTGAGACATTAAGTAATAACTCTCAGGCTGTAAATCCCTTGATTTCCAGTTAGCCTGGTGTTGGGCCTGGGCATGGTGCAGACATTCTGTTGCAAGGCTGTGGTAGTGACTGGCTGACAGCAGGTGATTTGTACAAGGTGTTCTGGCAGATTAACCCAATTTTGTAGGTCTGCCAGGCTCTCACAAGATCAGCTCATAGCAGGCATTCTTTAGGGGAAAACCCAGCAGTTCTGTTGGGCAACTGTTCAGTCTTAGCCAAAAAAGCTAGAGGCAGTTTTTAACATTCCCTGAAGCCCTCTGTCTCCTGCTGAGCAGGGGTGCAAGGCTGGGAGGGACCTGGAACCTGGTTTCTGCAAGAAGTGATGTTTGGCTCTGAATGCACAGCATTCCCAGCAGGAGGTGCCAGGTGAAAGCCAGATGTCAGGCAACAGAGCAACAGTGCCAGGCAAGAGGCTTGCACAGACAGGCAGTGTGAAGGCAGACTTCCTCCCACCAGACTGCTGCACAGCCCCAGAATGTTTGTAAAAAACCCACAGCAGGAAATTGCCAACAGCTTAATTGCATTGCTGACCTCATCCCTCCTGTGCCCAGGCCAAGGCCACAGGATGAGAGACAAACAGCTCAGTGGAGCAGCCTTTGGAGAGGACATCTGCTGCACTTCTCTTCTGTGCAGTGGAGAAGTTACAAAATCTCTTGGAGAGGTTTTTGAGTTACCTATCCCCAAGGAGCTACAGGAACACCAGGGCAGAGGGATCCATTGCAGGGCCATATTCTCCCCACACTGCCAGGTGCAGAAAGGGTCGTGGGACTTTCCCCTTTGGTGTTTGGCCTCTCTACCAGTCCCCCCAGTTTTCTTGCAGATGGGTGATTACTCACTCTGCTTCTTGGTGTTGAGTATGGTAGGAAGCTCCATATTTGTATTTTTTTCCATCAGAAGCAACAAAATTATATTTCTTTCCAGAGATTGCCAGAAGAGAAGATTCAGATGTAGATGGTGAGTACAAACATGCAAATAAAGAAGTTTATTTTGTAGATGTTCTTTCAGGAGTTTTGCTTAGTGTGATGAGGGCAATACCAGCTCCTTAATACCTAGAGATTGTCTAATCAAAAAGTAGAAGGTTGAAAACAGGTAATAACATGGAATGCTTTCACAGAAGAAATACTGTGCAAGTCATTCCATGATGCCAACTTACAGTGGGACTGTTGCATTTAGGAAGTAGAGTAATACAGGACAGACACTAGCCAAGTGTGAATTGATGTTCTGCTAAATTCTTTATCTATAGATGTTCATACAACTGCAAAGAGTTGTATCTGTGAGTCAGAATAATGCAATACTATGGTATTAATAAGAAAATAATTGAGTTTGCCCCCAAACCAGAATGTGATCAGTCCAGAGTGCTCAAAGAGGCAAAAAATCTGATGCCTGTATCAGGTGACCCAGAGCAGAGCTTCTGTTCAAGGTTTAGTTGCTCTGTGGTTCAAAATCTACAGTTCATGTAAAGGACACAAAAAATCTGATGCCTGTATCAGGTGACCCAGAGCAGAGCTTCTGTTCAAGGTTTAGTTGCTCTGTGGTTCAAAAGCAACACAGCAAAATCTACAGTTCATGTAAAGGACCCTTCCAGTACTCACCTGTTACATCTTTAGAGAAAATTCACTGCCAGGCAGAGGTTGCCAGTGTAGGAGAAATCAGCATCTGGAACTTGTTCTGAATCAACTCCCAAAAGCTTGGGTGCAGCAGGTGCCTCAGGGGCTGCTCAAACCACCAACTAAGAAAAAAGGAAAAAACTGCTGCTTAGGACCTGTTGTTGGAGAGATGGTAAAATACTCAGGTCTTTCTGGCAATACAGATGGGGAAAAAAGAGAATTTGGCAACTTTGCTCATGACAAAGAGCAAACTGCTCTGTGTTTAAACCTCTAAAATACCTCATTTGTTCTTAAGTTGTTTTTTCTCTGTGCCAGTGTAGCTGCAGGAGACTCGTTTCAGCAGCAGGTCTCATTTTGGGAGGTGCAGAAGTACTTGGTGTCAGGTGTTAGTAGAGGGATGATTCTCACACCCTCAGTAATGAAGGGGAGCTTTTTACTGTAGCTGTGGTTGTGCAAAGCACCCAGGGATCAAACTGAAGCTCCCTTGTACTGTGGCCTTTACTCCCCCACTGTCATTCTGAGACTATGGCTCGTCCCAGAAGAGACAGAAAGTACCCACAGTACTTTAAAACAATTCAGTATTGTTAATGCAGCCATCTGGTTATACTTTTTAAAATTCATTTTTAAAACCATGTTCTTTGGAGTGATTTTAAAATTTCTAATTTGATCTTTCTGAAAGGTTTGCAGACCAACAAAAAGTTTTACATATATTCTGCTCTGACAATCTATTTCAGATACAAAAAGGGAAATAAACTTTAAACTTCTTAATTTCACAGTTCCACAGTAATAAAAGACTTCTCTTTTTTGTAGCATATGAGAAGGAGAGCACTCACCCCCCTCAGTGTACATGGATGGGCATACGGAAGGATGGTAATTGATTTATTAAATCTAACGGACGTCAAACCTGTTGACAGAATAAGAATAAGATCTCTGGTTCAAAAAAACCTTTTTTCCACTCATTTTTCCAACATGAGTGCTTAGTTGAAGTGCATCAAGGCTTTGTGATGAAAATCATCGAGGCCTCTCACAATGTTGACCCTAGTGCCTGAGAAATCTCAGGGAAAGAGATTTCATTCCATGGGTGATAGTCTGTACCTCAAGGTGAATTTGGAAGGGCCATGGCTGCAGTTATGACCTAATCTTCCCTCTCAATTTCAGATGAATTCTTTCATTTTGTCATTCTTTGCTTTGCAATTGGAGCTTTACTAGTTTGCTACTACTACTACAAAGGTAAGGCAAGATTCAATTGAAGGATTTATTGTTGCACTATAGAAAAATGAACAAAGCTAACATTTATTTTGTTGCCTTAGATTGGACTATTTCTCTTGGGATTGGTTTAATCACCTTTGCTTCCCTGGAAACCACTGGGATATACTTTGGTCTAGGTAAGTGTCCCTCCAGCAGCAGCTGTGTCCCTGCACTAAGGACAAGGTCACACAGTTGCCACAGCCCATAAAACTGCTGGGGCTGAGATTCTGTAACTCACCACGAAACTCCCCCAACATCTCCCAATTACAGAGGGGATGCAGACAAGCAGCCTTAATGCTACTGAAGGGAGAGGTTGACTCATTTTTCCTTCTCAGTGATCACAAGACCCTGAGTCACCTCTTTCTGCAGCAATGGCAGAATGCTGTGTTGCCATGACAACGTGTAATTTTAGCAGCAAGGCCTGTCTTCCCAGATCCACTGGATAAGATGCTGTGCATCCTGGCTGCCATGCATTCCCCTGGGACTGAGGATGAGCTTGGGGCAGCAGCTACTGGAAATATTAAAACCTGTGCATTTTGACAATCCCTAAGGATGGTATAGGAGTGCTGACACCAGCAGCAAGTTATGGCTCCCCAACCAAGAACTTGTCTCCTCTGTAATCTCATGTTAACATGGTGGGAGGTTCTGGATGGTTCTCTCATGACTCAGCCTGATCTTTCTTATTAATGATATTGCAGATGTGCTTGTTTAAACAAAGGTCAGTATTTGGGTTTTGCCATTTTTCTACTTTTTTATGTTTTATGTTGCTTACCTTATATGTTTGTTTTCACACCCAGTGTACCGAATTCGGAGTGTCCTTGACAGCTTTGTTCCTCTGATTGACAGATTCAGGCCAAGAGGTAACAGTGCTCTTTTTCCTGACACATGTCTTCCCTGGACCTTAGTTTGGTGAGGAATTAAGACCAACTCATTTAATGACAATTTCCCATCTTGCTGCCTTAAAAAAAAAGTCTTTTACTACAGTTCATTACAGCTGTTTGGGTTTGAAAATTATTTAGTCTTGACTCTTTCCCTGTGGCAGAACATTTTCACATTTTTAATACTCCACCCTGTATGGGGTATTATTTCCTGGCAATGTCTGCATAAGAATTCTGTAGCTTAAATAAAAACTCAGGGGCTGGAGGGAGTCTTCACTTGTTGGGTCTTCAGACAGACTCCTGGTTCATGTTTATCCATGTTTATGGACACGAAACACGAAGAGTACTGAAAAGCTGCATGGGTACAGTCACACACAGCAGTCCTTACAGCTGTCTTTTTCTTCATCCCACAGGCATGAGGAAAGCTGCCTAGGAGAGGAGTATTTCAGGAGAGTTCCCCAAACCTGGCTGTCCAAATTTCCAGTACTAAAGGAACTGCTTTATGAGGTGAACCTAACAACCAAATAGCCAATGTGAAATACTGAAATGTGAAACCTCTGAAAAACATCACTCCTTTCCCTCCAAAATAAACCTGAAACTGGGATACAGGGCGCCCGTCTGGATTCTGAAGTGATTTGGGGCTCAGCAGAGCTTGGAAGATAACGGAGATGTAGCTTTGTGTTCAATTCCTTTGAAATACAAACACAATCACCTTCCCTGCCCCAGGCAGCCACGTGGTGGGGCATCTCTCATTTAACAAACCTCGCCAGTCTGCCTGTGGTGTACCAGCAGCAACAGACCAATGGCCTGTGCTGGTTCTGGCTTAGGCTCCGGCTGTTTCTGGAGGGATTCTGGCCTCCTCCTCCTCCTCCCCCCAGTGCAGAACAGGCAGAGGCGGGCCCTGCTCTCCAGCTGAGCCCCGGCGGTGCCGGCGCTGGGGCTGATGAATCGATTGTGGCAGAACTCGGAGCAGTGGGCGGGCAGTGGTTTCACTGAGAGCTGGGGAGATGTTACAGGCACTGACAGAGTGCTGCAGTAATGAGATTATTAACAACAGCACATTTCATCTTTTCTCAGGGGAAAAACACAGTGCTTGATTTGACTCATTCCCCAACCTTTTTCTTTCTTTGAGTAAAATAAACACAAAACTTTGACATTCATTAGAGTGTAGGACTACTGCAATCATAGGAAGATTGCAACAAAACTACATTTTAAGTAAAAATGTAAGGTCTTCATACCCACAGAATGAAGGCAACCAGTTCAACAGAAAAAGCCATAAACACGGACTTTTAAGGAAATGTAAATCTGAAAGCTGTAAAGCCAAACAGCTCGGAATTTTACAGGAACAATTTCAAGCCTTGCTCAGAAAATTAGAAAGGTTACTTTTTGTTGTACATGGTTTGAAGCACCAGTGTCAGTCACTCTTGCCTGCAGTTCCAGCTGCACTGCCAGAAACACCAAGAGTTGCACTCAGGCCTGCACCAACACAGCACAGCTGCCACCCAATGCCTCAAGGGCTAAATTGTGCAAGAAGGATGAACACAAGTTATTTCATTTCATAGTATTTATATGCTCCTTTACAGGTCTTTGTAGAAATATTTCACCATCCCAAACTACTGTATATTTTGTGTTAGTCTGCCAATAAAGTCTTGCTCAGACCACTGTAGCCATGCTAGTGGGAAATGGCTTTTGGGTGAACTGAAAACTAGAGTCACCCTGCTCTGACAAAAAGGGCTTTTTTAGTTTCCTCTGCTGTCTAATGTCTTTCTGAAAGGCAATTTGTGGAATAGTCGAGATGAGAAACATGTTTCAATACGTAATGTTTTAAATTTGGTACTCTGCAGTAAACATAAATTTTTAATTTTAACAGAAACTGCTTAAGGGTAAAATAAGCAAAACATTTAAAAACAGCAAAACATTTTTTAAAAAGTCATCAAATGCATCCCACCATGTGACATGAACAGTAGGTCCAATGAGAAAAGTCAGCTCTCAACAAAAAAGCAACTTACACATTGACCTGCATCCTCTTGAGTACCTGGCAATTTCCTGCTCTTCTTCCAGATCCTTTAGTCCTCAGCATCACTCTTGCTGTAGCATCAGCCAAGCACTCAAAACTACAAGCTCCTATGAGGAGTTTTTTTCCTTCACCTGTGCTGTCTGCACTACCATTCAGCCCAGGGCTCTGCTGGGCCTCACCTCCCTGTTGGCTCCCCAGGACCTGGAACATCTCATTCCACTTTGGCATCGCCCAGCACACTGGGTACTTCCTCCTTGCCTTTGGTTTTAAATGGCTGGGGGCAATGCAGACAGGAGGGGCTCTAAATATGCAGGTATTGCCCCCCCAACACCAAACCCCACAGACAAAAGAAGAGATGAAACCCCAGAAGGTTTTTTAAGCTGGTATTTTTATTAGAACTCTCTACATAAAGCACCTTTGCTTGCCTTAACCTCTCCGAACGCAGCTCTTCCGTTACACAGCACGAGATGCTCCGATCTACTCCGCGTTCCTGGACTTGGACACGGCCGCCCTCACCGCCTGCATGATGGCATCCTTGTCAATGCCAAACATCCTCAGCAGCTCAGCCGGCTTCCCGCTGCGGGGCACGTGGGACACAGCCAGGCGAGTGACGGTGACACCGGGCTCGCCCACGACAGCGGCACACACGGCTTCGCCGATGCCACCTGTGGAGAGAGCGCAGACACGGCACTGACGGAGCGTCCCAGCAGGAACGCCCACACTGTGTGTGTGGGGCCTGCAACCTACAGCCGCCATTCCCAGCCTCAGGAAAACACCAATCACACATGTCTGAGCGGGCCAGCTGCGAACTGAAAACCCTGTCCCGTGTAAAAGGCGTTCTGAGGACAAGCAGGCTGCCATTTCTGAAGTACTCAGCCATAAGCAGCAGGACACACCTGCCTCTCAAGGGCACAGGACTGTCAGCAAGCTCTCACCACCTCGGCATCAGCCACCAGGAACCAGGTTTAAAAATACACTTTGACTGAAGAGCATTTACAAGTGTACTTTACGTGCTGAAATTCCAACCAATCTCAGCAGCACTTCAGAGCTCCATCTTTTCACAGTGCCTGTACGTGCTGCTAGGCACCTCTCTGGTTATGTAATGTATTCACAACCTTTGCTCAGAGCTCAGCTCTGACTCACTATCAGTCACAGCGACAAAGGCTGCAACTGGAACTGCATGGAGGCAGGAGAGACACTGGAAGCAGAAGTACTAGGGAAGAAGAAAACAGGACTTGTGTCAAAAGCATGTGCTGCGAGACCTGGTAGAAGAGACACCTTAGTGCTACCCTTCAGAGAGTGTATGCAGGATCACAGGGCTGCCCACAGCTCCAGGTGTGGTGGGATTTAACCAAACTGAGCCTGCAGCCAGATGTAACTCTGTGGATGCAGCTGGTGAGCTCAGTGTGATGGGCCTGCAAGCACAGACTCCTGCCCTGCCTGCACCACGGAGCACCGTGCCAGCACAAAGCCCCTGTTCAGCACCTCACAGTTAACACTCTGCTGTCTTGCAAACCTGCAGTAAAATACTTGTCCAGAGCTGAACACTGAGCTAGAAGATGATGAGGTTCAGGGATCTATCACCATCCACAGTCTGGGACAAAACATGGTGTATCCAGCACTTGGGGTAGAACCAGCTCACTTCAGGTACCTGGCAAGTGATGCTCACCTTAATTTAAGATAATATTCTCATAACTACATCTACTAATTTCTGTTAGTAGATATATAGGGTGGTGGAGAAGAAAAAGGGAGGAATTTATCCCAGAGTAACTGGGAAAAATAGAAAAAAAAAATCTCTGGGAAAAATCCCAGAGTAACTGTGGAAAAACTGTGGAAACTGCCCAAACCATCTGATTTCAAGCAACCTGGAGCCAAGCTTTTGGACACATGGAATAATGTGTCCTGCACAGCAATGGTCTCTCTTGCAATTCCACACCTCCAGAGAAGCTCCTGTACAGCCGTTCAGAGAACACTCTGAACAGAGCCCCTGCAGCACAGCAGGAATTTACAATTTCACTGGGCACAAATGAATCCAGACTTCACTTGGACCAAGCACACAAAGGGCACACAGGGCCAAGTTAATTAGAAAGGCAGCCCTGATTACCCCTTAAATCTTTGGAACCTTTCAACCCTCAGTGTCACTTTGTAATCCTAACAGCACCCAAAAAGCCTGAAATCTTGCTTTTGCTTTCATGGGATGACAGCATCAGGTCTCATACTCTTCTGTCAGGTCAGAAGCTGGGAGCTTCCAGCCTCTGAAAGCTGTGACCTCCCAGACCCTCCTCACCTTCATGGTAATGGTCCTCAACAGTGATGATTCTGCCCTTGGTTGCTCTTGCACTTTCAAGTATTGTCTTCTTATCCAGGGGCTTTATAGTGAAGGGATCAATCACACGGATGTAGATCTTCTCTGCATAAATAAATGAAAATGATTTGTAACAATGAATTGCAACATGCAAGACAATGCCAGTGGTACAGGCAATGGCTGTGATCTCCTAGACCATTACGAGAAGTGCCCACATGAACTCTCAGGTACCTGTACCCATGGCTCATCTACCACAGAACCCAGCCAGCCCTAATTTCTACATGCATTCTTTCTCCATGCATCTCGTGGAATAGTGATATCCATTTATTCACAGACATGATGGAGGAGACTTGGATGAGGGACTCAAGGTTACCAGGAGCATTCATCACTAAAAAAGTAATCTAACTGGCTTTCCCCAGGTAAGAGAGAATCCAGACACCAGAGAAATCCTCCTAACTCAGGCTGTCAATTGTCATTTTTTCCCCAGACCTTTATTTTACCTTTATTGTCAAGCCAAGTGCAATTTCCACCTGATTCTTTGGTGTGTAGGCATTCTGAATTCTTTCTCCACTGCAGGCTGCCACCTCTCAGGTGTGCCTATCTGAGCTGCCCAGCCCTACCAGGGCACCCTTAAGGATGGTTGGCACCAAACCCAGATCCGCCCTGCCCTCATAAGGCTCATTAAAGCTGAACACAAATGGCAATTGTTTATAAAGAATAGCAATTATGTGAGGGTGTCTCTGATCCTGGCTGGCTGAACACTGGGCTGACTCCTACACATGAAGAGGCCCTATTGTCAGTTTTGTGACTGAAGGCTCTTCAGTGGCCAATACATTTTAGGCATTAGACCCTGACTCTGTACTATGGGATTATCTTTTCAGAGGTGATTACACAGACTTCAAGACCAGCAGAGCATTGTAAAGCACGTTAAGTGTAGAAAAATAACAATGGTTCTGAAAATACCACCTTCAAAATGTCCTAAGCCTGGTGACTTGAGGTCATGACAAAGTATCAGTGCACCCAGAGGCTGCACACAAAGCTGCCCAAAAGCCAAGGCAGCATTACTGTATTATCTCCTGCTATTTGTAATCTCTTCCTGGGGAGAGGCTCCTGACTCACAGATGGGTTTTTGATGGTTTCTTTCTCTTGTTTCATTGAAGGGTTACCCTTGCTGTGAGATGTCAGTGACTTGAGCACTGCCATAGATTTGTGTCCCTCCCACACTGGTTCAGAGTTGCTGCATCCAAAGGAACCCAGGTCAGCAGAGCCCAACCCAGGGCCAGGTGCCATGGGCACACACAGGTGACAGGCTGTGGTTTGGGACCTGGCCCCAGCCTGTTTGCAGCCCATTGTGCTGTACCTGACCAGGTGCCACTCCTGCTTCTCACACAGTGTCCCCAAGCCTCTGCCCACAGGGCACTACCACAGATCAGCAATTCTAAGGAGACCCTGTGTGATCTGTTGTCAATTTTCATGGCTACTAATGCTGCTAAGCCAACTAAAACCCCCTCCGTTAGGCAAGACTGGCAGCTGCGTGCTGTGTGGTACTGTTTCAGCTAACAGGTGCCTGACTACCTGTCTGAACAATGTCATTAATGTTTACCAGTACAAAGGGTGAGCAGTTAGGCTGACTGGTATTGATTTTTTTTCTGTGTTACATGACAAAAAGGAAAAAAGCCCCACCTTTTCTCAGCTGCTCTGCTGCAGCCAGTGCTTCATGCAGAGTGACTCCTGCTCCAATCACAGTCACTTGGTCATCCTTACTCTTCAAAACCACCTGCAAGAAAACATGTCCATGTGTTTTTAACACTTAATCTTACTGGTTTTTTTAACATTTCTAAAGATTTTAATGAAAAGATCAAATCTTTGCAACACTTTAGAGGGAAAAGGGCTTTTACAAAAGGAACACTGCATATTTTTCTGATTCTGTTTATCTGTGCAGTATTTACCTTTGCCTGTCCAATATGGAAGTCCTCATTGTTGTTGTAAATGACAGGGTTTTCAGGACGACTAGTTCTGATGAAACAA